TCTGTTCAGAGGACAGTTATTTGCCCCAACAACTTCTGCAAACCCATGTCACATTCTTAATGCCTGGACACTGGACAGTGGCTCAACCGGGCGCCTTTCCTGCTCCTAACGCTCTGAGCAGCCAGCTGGCAGCCTCCCTCACCAGAACCTGTGAATACCTTGCTCAGAAAGCTGCAGCTCACCCCGGCTTCCTCCTTGAGATACTGAATTTCTAGCTCATTATAGTGTTTTAATCCAGAGACTGACATTCCTTTTTTAAAGGGATTTCATGCTTCATTTTTCCTGCTGTGTCTCCAGAGGCAAGAAGGGTAACTGCAAACAACCTCTCCTCAGAGCCCCACCCAGTTCAGACATTCCTCTCCCCTGTGCCCACCCTCCCTCCCTCCCTGCCATCCCAGCCACCAGCCACAGAACTGACATCCAACAGCTGCACTAATCTCTCCCAGTTGCCGGGAGCAACAGGGACGGCCCTGTGACAGGGCTTGGCGAGGAGGTAGAGGCAGCCTGCCGTCCCCACGCCCAGGCCTCCACCAGGCCACGGCACAGCCCGACACCAGGCTGGGGCTGCTCCACCACCCCAGCAAGCGAGAGATGGGCTTGGTCTGAGGGGCTCCGCACGGGGCCGGCTGGGGTGAGCCCGGAGGCTGGGGGCCTCCCTGCTGTGCACGGCCTGTTCTATGAGCCCCCTGCCAGGCGGGGTGGAGGGCCCATCCTCTCAGAGGCGCCTCCAACTTCCAGGCCGACCAGGAGGTGACCCTCTCCACCCTCCACCCCAGCATCATTTTATATCTGCCTCCACCTGGCCACGCCATGGGATTCTTAAACACAAGGCCCTGACAATATTTTGTTATACCCTTTCTGGTTTTAGGATAGCCTTGAACAAGTGTGGGTCCATGCCATGGGAATTAATGCAGGGTCTCTCTGAAGGTGATGGGGTGCGCACGGTGAAAGGAGGCAAAAAACTCCTTGGAACACTCGAGAATCCAGAAGGTTCTGGCACCACTCTTCACACCAAGTTAAGGGGTGGTCCCCAGCCACCTCCCATCTGTAGCGGCCTCTCCCCACCCTCACGGGGGTGGGGTTGGGGGGCTTGGGGGTAGTTGTGGGTCAGAGCCCACTTGGGTTCCCCAGTACTAATCCCCAACAGATTTCAGGGTACCACGTTATAATTTCTCTCAATTTTATCACACTGAGGAGGGCCTCAACCCGGAGGAGACGATACAGCACCACTGCCAATGGGAAATGTCAAGGGAAGCCTTCCACGGACCGGCCGGGCTCCCTCTGCCTGCACAGCAAGCAGCCCTGCCCCTTACTTGCTTTCTGACTGGCCTGGGAGGCCTGTCTCCAACCACAGTCGAGTCTGGCCAACTGCCTGGTACACAAAGCGCCCGGATCACCTGCTGGATACATTTTAACTAAATAATCTAAAAGTTATTTACTACCTGATCTCCTTTAATCAAGAAATCATTTTGCCAAATTCTGCTCTCAGCAGCAGACCCGGAGCCATGGTGACAGGCCAGCTGTCACTCCTCCCAGCCTAGCCCTCGTCAGCCTGGACAAGTCACTCAGACACAAGCCCAGGGGCCTCCGCAGCACAGCCGCGGCCCTGGTGCCCTCCCCGCTGCAGGCGGGCTCGTCCTAGACCCGCACCTGCTGGGGAGGCTGCTGTGTACTTGAAACGTTCAGATGGAGATGGACTGTGGCTGTACCACACACACGGGATTGCAAACCCCTTGTATATAAACAGGAATGTAAAAACTATCATTGGCAATTTTTATACTGATTATATGTTGACACTGTATTTTGGATACAATGGTATAATGAACAAAAGTATGACCAATTTTGCAGTTTCCTTTTACTTTCTAAAATGTGACTATGAGAAAATCTAAAACGACACATGCAGCTCATATCTTACTTGTATTGGTTGGTGCTGACCTGACTTCCTTCCCAACTAACTTTGTTCATGGCAGTGTATGGCCAGTTCGTCTGTTCTATTCTTATAACCAAGCACGACATTCAACACCCCGAGACATCCTCACTCAGGGAAGTCCTTTTTGCATCCACCTGCTCACTGGATACTCTGTCCGTCACTTCTGATTCCAAATGCTAGCTCCCAGTAAGCCCTGAGCTTCTCCTTGTGTGGGAAGCTGTACAGAGGGGCTGATTTACTGCTGGTCATGTCAGGGCATGAGCGATACCCGGCACTAAGAGCTAGAGTCGCTACAAGCAGCTTTGTATCTTCCTTTTCCTCTATGCTAAGACTTGGTTAATTTGAAACACAGGTCAGTGGAGGAGAATGGCCTTCACAGTGTTTACACGTGTTTGGATTTCAAGGCTTTTTATTAAGGAACAGTGGGCACCTTGCCAGCATTGGGGGTGAAGGGTAAGGGGGCAGGAGAGAGAGACGCCAACAGCTGTTTTGAGTTTTAAACTTTCTGTCTAAGCTGGTAGCATCCCACTGTGGTTCTGCTGCCTCTGGGGTTTGCAAATGAAGTGGGTGTCTATTTTAGCTCTGGGTTAACAAGCAGTCTCCCACCAGCTACTGTCACAGTTCACTGCCTGGCTAGGCCCTGCTGGCTCATGCCTGCCCCCATGGCCTCCTCTGATAGCAGACTATTATGTGGAATGGTAGAGCAGAGAGGAGAAAAGGGAAATTAACTATGTTCCGTAATCAACTCCTTTTGGTTTCCAGACATGAGCCCCACTCCCCAAAGCAACAGCCACTAGACAGGAGGTGGCCAGCTCAGCCCCCACAATGGGTGTGCTGTGGAAGCTGGGTCCAGGGGCTCCCCTGGGTGGAAGGCTGCCAGGACAGGCTCAGTCTCAGGCTACAAAGCTTCTCCAGCCACCCCCTCCCGACAGAGGGCGTCACTACTGAGTAGGCAAGGAGAAGAGGAAGGACATGGGCTCAGCTTCAAGGCCTGTCTGCCCATTGGCCTTGGAGTCGCCGTGAGTGGATTACACACCACACCTTGCAGGTTGGGGCAATGAGTGTCCGATGCAATCCCATCTCCATCCTCTCTGAGTAGCATGCCTGCCTGCCTCTGGAGAGGTAAATGCCCAGAGGGCCCTTCTCTAGGCCAGTATTTAAGGGGGACACTCATCTTCCTGGTCTCTGCTGCTATACACTGTGCTGTACAGGTTCTGGCTGCCAGAAGTCTCTTATGGGAATCCCATTATTTTCCTCCAGGAAGGAATCATCTAGAAGGGGGCGAATGGGTCGTTCCTATGATGCTGTCTGATCAGAGATTAAAGCATGACATGGAGCAAAGCACACAGAGCCCAGAGAGGCAGGTGAGTCCGCTCTACAGAGTGGGGTCAGATGCTACTTGCCAGGACCACTAGGCCAGAATTGGGGTCCCATGTGCTATTCCTGCCTGTGCCCATGCCTGTCCACGTGAGGCTCCTCTGATAACTTCACCTTCATTTGCTGAGGTGCTCAGTCTAGAAAGCCATTTCCATATTCACGGCCCACCACAAGCCCACTTCCTCGGGATGCTGTGGACGTTAATGAAGCCATGAAGTCAAAGTTCCTGAATGTCTCAGAACTACAGGGCCCACAAAAGGAAGAGCCAAGAGTTTTTTCTTGGTAGACAGATTGGTTAAGAGACTGAATTGCAGAATTTAAGGCCTGAAAGGGAACACAGGGATTGTCTGGTCCAGCTTTTCTTGAGGTCAAGATACAGCTGGTCCAGCTCCCATGTGAGCCTGGACAGCATCCTAAAATCCTGACCACCAGCCCATGCCTGTTCCTACGCTCAATTCCCGAGCTGGGCAAGTTATGTTAAGACATTTTATAGCACTTCAATTGCTCGGCAGTTTAAACTCTTCATAAAGTCTGTTTTTTCCCCTAATAGAAAAAAGTCAAGCTAATGTGAATGGGGGTAATATCTGACATGGCTTTAAGTTACCATACAATCAGGCTTTTCCCCCAATGCAGAAAGTCTTTCGCTTGCTCAGACCTCTTCACTCCTAAGTCACAACCAAGCACGTGTCCTGAGGAAGGAAATCTGGCCCATATGTCTGTGAGTCAGACATGCCCAGATTTCCCTGCTCCCGGGACGTCTTCCGAGACCCAGAGCCGCAGCCCCGCCTGCACCCGACTCTGTTCTGGGCCAGCCGGCAGGTGTACCTTGCAGGAGAGCTATTTTCAAAGTCTGGCAACTCCACCAGAGGCCCCCTCCAAGGCACATTGTTCTTTTCAATGTGAAAAACGACAGAGGTAGCATTTTAAAAGGGGTCATTCTATAGGAAAATATTTCAAGCCTAATTGTTCATGAAGAACGCAGCACTTTCTACCTGATGAAAAACTTCTCAGAGAAGGTAGAGAAGGAAAGCGGAGTCCCTGCCCCAAATTATGCTGGAAAATTCTATTACCACCCATGTTTTGCTTGAGAGGCTGAGGGTCAGGAAAACTGAAACCAGCGAAGACTTAAAATTGTGTCTGGACCAGCAGGACAATCACCTTTCACTGTGTCCCTGCATCACCGTGACACGCCTCACTTTGGCAGGAGGGTTTTGCACGAAGTACAAGTCTGTCTGACCCCCAGTGCTTTCTTAGGTCTCTGCTACCTGTCCAGTGCAAACACTCCCGAGACCCTGACATGCCCTTCCTCTCCTTATCCCATTACAGGCACAGCTAACAGTCATTTGAGCTGCAATGCCTTTTGTGAAGGGAATGTATCTGCTGCCCAAAAGCCCTGGGATCAGGTTGGGGGTGGGGGCCTCATGGTGACGGCTCCAGAGGCCTTACCAGGAGCGAAGGAAGCACTGCGAACCTTGGCGAACACATCCTGTGCCCATAGCTACCTCTACTTTCTCTCTGACCCTTCCCAGCCTGACCTGTGCACAGCGCATGCCTTTGCCGACTGCTGTCCTGTGTTCACACCCAAGTCACACCATTGTAGCCCAGTTTGGAGTAATGGGAAATAAGGATAGGTCATAATGAGAAGAAACAGGAAGGAAAAAGAGCTTTCCAGTATATCGCCCCACTCTCCTACCTTAGTGGGTTATCTGAGTGGGTCTCCATGTGGGTCTCCAGTCCATACTTGCAAACAAACTCCTTGAAACATACTGGGCAATGGAACACTTCATCAGCCTTTTTGTCCAAGTCGCCCGACTGCGCATCTTCTACCATCTTAGGGAAAAGGAAAAAAAAAGGGAATTCATGAGGAGGCCTCCACACGGGAGTGCCTCGGAAGAGAAGCCAGTGCTAAATCCAGAGACCACCCCCAGGGAAAGGATGCCTCTCTCTCAGGTATTAAGGATGCTACCGACCAGTCCTTTCTTCACACCACAAATGCTCACTGAATGCTACCATCCATCTGTCCATCCACCCACCCACCCATTCACCCACTCCCAACTCACTCATCTGTTCATGTATTTATGGAGCACCTACCATCTAACAGACACTGGGAATACAAGAGTGAGGACAAGAGCCCCAACACTCAGGCGCTTCTACTCCAGCTGGAGAAACAAAAGCCAGCAGGGCAACGAGCTCTCCATTTCACCCGGGGGCTCAGAGAGGAGGCCCCATGCACCAAGCACATGCGGGTGTTCCCTTCTGCAGACACCTTACAAACAGTGCGGGCAAACACAGCTAAAGCTCGGGGTGGATGCCAGCCAGGTCCCTGAACTGTGAACATAAAGACACGCAGATTTCTGCCAGCAGCCCCGTGGTTAGGCACGTCTGTGCTGGGAGCAGAGAGACCTTTTTAGCAGGTGCTGGGTCTTCTTTCTCTGACTCGGCATCATGACTCAGTTTCCTTTTGGAGGAGAACCTCCTGCGCTTCAGTGGGGACGGAGGGGCTGCAGCTGTAGCACTGTTAGGGTCCTTCTCATGAATCTTCATATGTCTGGAAAGAGCACACATACACACGATGTGACTTTGCAAAAAGCTGAACTGGTCTGTATCTTTTCACTTTTTTACATTTTATACTTAGGCATTGGCACTTAAGTTTTAATGAAAGCAAAAGGGTATAATTTACAGCAACTTCTTTTTAAAGCCTTGTAACCCCCTTGAGTCCTCTAGAGCTCCTGCAGTGCACCCAGAATGTCGCCCAGTGCCTGCTGCCCATTGGAGGACATACTTGAGCCTCATGGGCATTGATGAGTTGAATCTGGCGGCCTGTCCTACTTACTCAGACAAAACATACCACTTTAGAACATGCAGTCCTGCAGAGCAAAGACTTTCCAGACCCCTCTTAGTTCATACACCAAGTAACGGCTCTGTATTTGCCCCCAGAAACCCCACCCCCACCTGCATTCTCTCTCAGCTGCAGGGTTGCATCTGACAAGTGCTGACAGAGCAAATGCCTGGAAACCCGAAAGCCTCTCCATGCTGAGTGTGTATAACATGCACATGATCATGTCAGAATAGCCGGCACAATGGAGTAAGTTACATGTTGCAGCACTGACATGTGCAGGGCCAGGAATTCACATGTACAAAAGCATTACATATATAGCATGTACGTGTCTGTTCCAAAAAAGAGTTTTGTTGACTGATCTAAGTGACCTCACTTCATCAAGTTCTAACACAAACATTGTTAAGAACAAAATCCTCAGACCTGTAGGAAGGAAGAAAGACGTTGTAAAAAAGATAGTTGGCCTCCATTTCCTTTCGTTGTGACATAAAAGGCTGAGTTTTCCTAATGACAGTCATCCTCACCATTGTCATTGCTGACTAGGGTTAAACTGTGCCGATGCAGGACTGTATTTTCATACACAACACTGCTTTATGGTATTGTATTACCTTAGAGAAGATTTTAGCCAAGGGACAGGATAGTATAAAGCTTTCATAAACTATCCTGTCATACTTTAGAAGTTGATTCAGCTCAGCTCAGCTCGCTTTTTGCTGCCTGGTCTTTGGAGGGGGCAGGCTGAGGACGGAAGGGCAAAGCGGCTCGTGAACCACAAGCGGCCACAATTTGGGCTCTAGACTGATTCACTGAGATGGCAGAGGTAACACCTTCCCCTCATGTGACCTCTGACCTGCCACACCTGCCAGAGGGTGTGGAGGTGAGATGCCGGGCTTTCCTTGTTCTGGTTCTACAGACATAGTCTAGAAGGTCGGGGAAGTCCTCGTGTTTGCCCAGGCCCGACTCTCCCCTGCCCACCGGCCCACCTGTCCACCAGCAGGTCGATGAGGCCTAACCTTTGAGGAAATAAATGGGCCTCAGGGAAGAGGCTCAGGCCACACCTCTCTTCTAAGAGGGGGAATCTGCTGTGGAGCAGAAAGACCTAGTGAGAGGAAACGGGGAAGAGTCACATTCAGCCGCCGTGCCCATGTCCGTGCAATTCCTTGCTTGCATTATTAGGAAAGGATGCTTTATCACTAGTTCTTGGTCTCCTAAAGCCTTGGCAAAGATAAAGGGGGCAAACAGCCTTAATTCTAAGAACCCCCCTCTATTTTAAGGTGCCTGGGATTTAAGGAGACCATCACTTAATATCGGTGTTTGGAGGGAGAAAAAAGGCTACCAGTTTCTTTTGACACTTATTCTGTGGCACATTCTAATTTCGGAAATGTAAAAAAAAATTCTTTTAAGCATCTAAGAATTGAAGTCTAATAAACCAACGACATACATTAGTGCTTAAACCCACCTTTCTGACAAATCACCCAAAATTAATAATAAAAAAAAAATCACTAACCTTTTCTACAGCCAATAGGTTCCCTGTTAGACCATGAGGCTACAGTACCCATGGGTACCTTAGACACGATGATGCTTAATTATCTGGCTCTTGGGATTTACAATGGCAGCTGTTTGCAGAGCAGAGCAGAGCAGGAATGGACTGAGCACTCTGTGAGGGTCTGATGGGGACTTCCCGGGGGCTTATTTCCAGGGGGCAGAGAGGCTGCCTGCCCAGTGTGGGGGCTGATGCTAGGGCCCCAGGGCCTCTCATCTAGGACACACTCCAGAGTCCACGAGTCCGAAGGCTCAGCCTTTGGATCTGTGTTCAGGATCAGGGCCTAGAATCTTCAACCTGAACCTGGACATTGCCTCCTGGAGTGACTGTAGCCACCGTCTAGCAGTTGGTACCAAACCCGAACCAAATTTCCCCGGGAAATGAAGGGCCCACAGGTCAGGCAGAGAACCTCTCCTACCTCGAGTCCTACCTCCCTCTAATTCTGAAAAACTGGGGTTGCCTTTGAACTGCGTCACTGCTAAAGGCAGCGAGAGGCGGCCAGATCAAAGCAGTCTCCAGGGATTTGCGCCGAATGAGCCTGTGAACACATCAACCCACTCCAGTTCTCCGACTGCGCCTGGCTGGAGCGTCAGGTCCAAACCTCAGGCAGTGCTCCTTCTGGAACACTGGTCGTTGGCTGAGACGCAGGGAGTTCCCAGCCTCTCCTTTCAGCTACATGGAGGACAGCTGCAGGCTCGTTTAAGAACTCAATTCAGTCAATAACTGAGCTGCCAGCGTCTGGTTGCTCCAGCCATTTCTGAGGTTGGATGTGATCTATAGTTAAAGATTCTCCCCACCCTGACCCTTTTTCTTCCCTGCCCTCTGACAGCAGAAGTGGCAACATTAGCTGTCCACTTCCTCCCAGAGGCTCCCAGGACGTGGGGTGCGCCCGCATGATGAGCAGTGATGGCATGGCCAAAGCAGAGAGGGCTGCTGGACAGGAGACAATCCTGCTTCTCTTCTTTAGAAGGTCTGGGTTTGTTTTTCTCCCAGGTTTTGTTTCAAGGACTAATGCATCTAATTTCCATGTACACTGAGAATCAATAAATTACACCGAGCCTCAGAACTGGAAGGGGACTAAGATGCCATCCATCCTCCCACTCGGCACAGAAAGTCCCTCTGCACAGTATGCTGGAGAGATCACCATTTAGTTCTGCTTGAAAACTTCCAGCTACGGGGACTTCTCCATTTTCAACAGTGCTAACTGTTACGGCCATTTCCCAGTGCTGACTCAACAATTCAGTCCTTCCTTTAAATGTCTATCTCCTCCGGGGTGATACCATCCGCCTACATTCTCTCCTAGAAGGCAGCTCCTCAAATAGTTCAAGATGACTGTTGCATTTCTGCGAAGTTTCTCTTCTTGAAACCGAACAACTCCAGCTGAGGGATCAGCCAGACCCTGCAAGCTCTGCTTTTAACCCTGCTGAATCACTGCACTATTGATCTGCAGAGTCCCTCCAGTTTGCAAACATCCCTTCTGAAATGTTGGATCACCAGCGTGGATGTGGTTGGAAGATGAAGGGCAAAGAGCTGGGATGAGCACGTACAGAAGGTGAGTAACTGGAAATGGGGCTCCTGTGCAGGTGAACAGCGACGTCACACCCTCTGTTCCTATGAAGATTCTCCAGGATTTCTTCATTCAAACTGCCAGCTGTTAGCATCTGCACTTGAGCAGTTAGCATCTTTTCACTTTCCAGATTGGCAAGGATGGAAATGTGCAATGTTTGGGCAGCAGAGAAAACCAGTTCCTCACACATGGTTGGTGGGAGTGAAAAACCAGTAACGATCTTTCTGCAAAGTGGTTAAGCAATGGGGGTCAGCATTTTAGATACGTATGCCCTTTATTCCAGTAATTCCACTTCTAGAAGTTTGTCTCAAAGACTAATAAGTGGACAAAGGTACACAGTCTGTGCACAAGGACTGAGGTATCATAACTCACAGACAGATACACTGCAAAATCATGAATAACCACAGGATTTTTAACTGGCTGGTCTTAATATTTTAACCCGGCCATTTCGATTTCCCTCTTGCTCTCCTAAAGTTCACTCTCTACACAGCAGCCAAGGTGGGCTTCTAAACCACGCACCAAATCATGTGACTCCACTCCTCTGCATAAGGCCTCTGACGGTCCCACTTTTAGAACTAAATCTGGCCCCTGCCAATTTCTGGAGTCTGGTCTGTGAGCACCCCACCCTGATCCCAAGGCCCTCTCAGACACACTAGTTCTCTCTGGGTTCCTCAAGCTCCTGCACCTTCTCCAGCCGGCGGGCTGGGGCCCTTGCTGCTCCTTCTGCCTGCGCTGCTCCACCCGCCTTGGGCTGGCTCCTGCCACCAGGTTTCATGCAAGCACCACTCCCCTCTCATAGGCTCTCAAGCCTATACCCATTTTTACTTTGCTTGCACATACCAGCACCTGAAAATTAACTTGTTTGACTGTCTCCTTGGTCTCAATTGAAATTAAGTTTCATTATACCTGTGTCTCCCCTGTTCTCTGCACTAGCCCCTGTGGCACACAGTAGGTGGTCAATACATATCTGCCAAATGGCTGAATGGATGAATAAGCATATATATGTTAAATGAAGTATATGCAGAAAATTGGTTACACTTGCAGGATCTCTACAACACATGTCCTCAGATTTCAAGGCACCCTATATAATCTACCATACTAGGATTTAATGTGAGCAAACCTGGTAAGACATTGTACAGTAGACAGTGCTATAATGAAGGGATCTGAATGAAAAACACCCCAAAGATGAACACTGGAGACACATGCAAATATTTTCCTTTATTGGCATGAATCTGCATTTATGCATACAAAATTCCACACACGTTCATAGGACAGAGAAGTTCATGTAAAGTCAAAGTAAGCTTCTGTTTATGCCATTCTAGAATGTTCCTTTGGAGGCATATCACTTCAGTAGTAGAAATCCTGCCACACTGTGGTCTAAGGAAGGAATTTTAACAGAACTTTGCCAGGAGGTCCAGTGAAACCTTCCACTCATAATGCCCAGGGGGGCTTTTACAGTAATGAACTGAAATAAATATTGCAGATGTTTTTTAAACACAAAAAATCTAAATCTGAGTACCTCTTTAGCTCTGATAGACGCTTACTTTAAATTCAACTCCAAGTGTCTTCTGTAAGTGTAATCGCTCATTTTCTAAAATGTGAGAA